GCATTCAAGTTAATGTTATTTTCAAATTTATTACATGAAATAATTATAAATAAAATAAAATAAAAACTTGGTTATGTAGTAGCTTTCAAAGTTATAAATTAAAAAGTGACACAATGATTTGTGAGCCAAAAGGTCAACAAAATTGTATGTCTTAAAGTATTATATATCATGTCTTTGAACTTGTATTCAAACACATTGGTTATTAAATGTGTACTCTAAAATGACCTTCCTTAACTAGTTCTTTTTCATTGATGCCAATTGACAGGGATGTGACGGATCGTTGCTCCTTGACGACACATCGAGCTTTACTGGAGAGAAAAATGCAGTTCCTAATAAGAATTCTGCGCGGGGATTTAACGTGGTTGACAAAATAAAGTCCGCAGTAGAAAACGCGTGCCCTGGCGTGGTGTCATGTGCTGATATATTGGCCATTGCTGCCAGAGAATCAGTTACCGTTGTAAGTCAACTTATTATACTTAGCTAATCATTCTAAATTTTCATGTTTCAGCAAGTTAACCAATTTAACCAATTACGTTCTTGTTTGATGCATAATGCAGCTTGGAGGGCCAAGTTGGGACGTTAAGTTGGGAAGAAGAGACACAAGGACTGCAAGCCAAGCTGCTGCTAACAACAGCATCCCCCCTCCAACCCGAAACCTAAACCAGCTCGTCTCTACATTCAATGCTCTTGGCCTTTCCACCAGAGACTTGGTTGCTTTATCCGGTATCTATTTCCCGATGAACATTCTCTCCGGTGATTCTAATTTCTGCATGCAGACACTTCAAACTTTTGCTTTTCTAGACACCCACAAATTGTCACTAGAATTAAGTGTCCAGATATAATCCTTTGGAGTCCACAACAATCACTCAATAATTATTGTTGTAATCAAGTATGGTAGCAATTGACATTCCTATTTTAGCCATCTGCACTCAAAACTGAGTATTTTATAATTCTTTACGCACTGTAAGAAGTTACAATGCGTGTGAAATCCACTGGCTGTCAAGTATTCCTTTCTTAACCAATTTGGGTTTGTAAAATTTGAGCAGGATCCCATACAATTGGGCAAGCAAGGTGCACAACATTCAGGCCTCGCATATACAACGAGACCAATCTGGACAGTTCCTTGGCTCAAACAAGGCAATCCAACTGTCCAAGAACCTCTGGCTCAGGAGACAACAATTTGGCTCCACTTGATCTGAAAAGCCCTACTTTTTTTGACAACAGCTACTTCAAAAACCTAATCCAGAACAAAGGTCTCCTCCATTCTGACCAGCAGCTCTTCAATGGTGGTTCCACCGATTCAATAGTGCGAGCCTACAGCAACAGCTACAACACCTTCAGTTCTGACTTTGCGAAGGCCATGATCAAGATGGGGGACATCAAACCTCTTACTGGATCCAATGGGGAGATTAGGAAGAATTGTAGGAAGCCCAACTAAGCTTGCAGGCCCTATATTTGAATATAGCCTATATGGCTTTAGAATTAAAAAAAATATTGGGGAGATTTTGTTTTTAGTATGTATTTGGGTTTTCGTGTAGAAGGCACAACTAATGGCCTTGGAAGAATTTGAGAATTTTGTTTGAAATTTGAAATATGTCGCTTTTATCTTTGTTGAGATATACTAAATTCCGCAAATATTATATATATATACACACACACACCCTATCGATCATAGCCATAAGTATGATTTTACTTGCTTTTCAAGTAATACAATCATGATAGGATAAGATCTTCAAAATCTTATTGGATACTGCTTTTAAATTTACAAATCACTCTTATAATAATACTATTTACAATAATTTCAATTTTTTTTCACAAAATTTGACGATGATCGGAGACGGCGACAGAGACTCCCTTCTCAATTCGTCCAACTGGACTCTAGGATTTGCCAGTAGATTCTAATTTAAGGTTATCGTTGGATTTCCCTTCAATATACCCACTACATCAAAAGACTTGCATTTTGACGTTACTAATTAATTTCTTCATTGGGTAAAGTCTCAATTGCCCTTGCTGCCAATTTCGAGGGATGTGGTGGGTCGTTGCTCCTTGACGACACATCAAGCTTTACTGGAGAGAAAAATGCCGAATCCAATCGGAATTCTCTACGGTGATTTCGTGTGGTTGATGATATAAAGTCCGCACCGGAAAATGTATGCCTCCGCGTGGTGTCATGTGCTGATATATTGGCCATTGCTGCCAGAGATTCTGTTGCCATGGTAAGTTTATTAACTTAATTGTATAACCTACTTACCACTTAGTATTATGGTCTAGTAATATTTCTCTTCACTTGTGAGTGAGATGTCTTATGTTTGTTTCTTGCCAAAAGCGAATTTGAACCACATTATTACTAACTTATTGTAAAATTAAGCCCACCCGTGAACACAAATTATATCGTGATTCATCCCGAGTTAGGGCTACGTCCACACTACTGTCGATCCCGTTTCACTATATAAAATGAGAGTTACATTGTTGTTGCTAGAGAAGCTAGGATTTGTCATCGTCCTAAAGTGAGGGTGAATAGTCCCTTTTATAGAATAAGGGTTTTCCTCTACATCATAGGCTAAGTACTGATACCCAAATATTGAGGCCTAATATATGGTACAATAGTTACTGATATTAATTGTACAAAATTAAAAATGGTGTGTAAAAGGCCTATCAATGGCTAATAACCCCATTAAGCACCGATATACCTTTTACTCACCTCGGTAGCTACTCATGATAAGCCTTCCACCCCCACCCGATTCTAAACTAATTTCACTCACTATTGTCAATTTTCCTAGTAGTGTTTAGGGTATAAGATTGGATGGACACCCCAAGAATTGTTCCTAGACGCCTAAAAAAACTTAAACTACTCTCCGTATAGCTAATTAGTTTTATGATAGAACCTCAACTTCTTCACAAAATAAACATTTGGTGTCCACATAAATCATCCAAATGTTCAGTCCTCACCATTATATGGACGACGCATAAAATTGAACAGGATCCCATACAACAGGGCAAGCAAGGTGCACCATATTCAGGCCCGGGATATACAACGAGACCAACGTGGACAGATCCTTTGCCAAAAGAATCCAACTGCCCAAAAACCTATGGCTCAGGAAACAATAATTTGGCTCCACTTGATCTTCAAAGCCCTACAGTTTTTGACAACCACTACTACAAAACCCTAATCAAGAACAAAGGTCTCCTCCAGTCTGATGAGCAGCTCTTCGATGGTGGTTCCACCAATGCCACAGTGCGCGCCTACAGCAAAAGCTACGATACCTTCAGTTCTGATTGCGAGAGCCATGATCAAGATGGGAGATATCAAACCCCTCACTGGATCTCATGGGGAGATTAGGAAGAATTATAGGAAACCTAATCAAGCTTAGTACGTGGGTACTTAAGCCTGACTTCAGCCTACAGGCATATGTCTTAAGAATAAAATTGTTTTGGGGAGATTTTATTTAAAAAGTATAACTAATGACCTTATCATCTTGTTAAGGTCCACTATAAATATTCTTCACTGTTGATAAGCAAATATTCATGTCAAGTGTCTAGCCTTCCAAGATAAGTTGCTTTCAATCATATATTAATAGAATTTTACGGTTTAATTCTCATGTATTCCATAATTCTCAATATAAATACATACAATCCTTGTTACATAAGGAAAACAATAAAGTACACATATTTACATTCCCTTTCTACATACTAACTTACGCAATAATATTTGTACTTATTCATAAGAAATTACTGAAAACAATAAGGCTATGTATAAAAGGTACGCCTTTAGCTCTAATATACTACGTAGAATTTAGAGAACTGAATGATGATCCCTAAAGGTACAAATACATGTCCAAGTCAGTGACTTTGAGTGCAAGCTAGCTAGTTTACTTGGCATGCAAGATAGAAATACAACTAGGAGAAGTAAGCCTAATCTAACCCAAATAGGTAACAGAATTTGAACCGTATTTATCCCCATACAAAGTTGACAGACTACAACGATTAACACATCTAGCTTCTGGAAAAACATGAAATAATTAAATTTCAGAAGAGAGAAAAGTTTATAACTCTTCATAGAGAACATTTTAAACCGGCAAGAGAAAATGTAAGTGTAGTGGATTTTGTTATCGAAGAGTCCTCTACGTCTACAACCTTGTCATAATTTGCATAATTATCTCCTGTGTATTATCACCTTATCTTGGAGCTTTGTAATCACGTTAGGACTTGTATTAGGAGTTATACAGTCCCTTTAGGACTCTCTGTTAACCTAGCAGACTTGTATATTTATACTCGATTATGAGCAATGAAGAAATAGTGACTTCCATCAATATTATAGTTTTATGTTTACTGTGTTCTTTCTCTGAACTTATATTTCTACAGATTTATTGTGTGCAAAAGAAAAACTTTCATGATGTACGCAAACTTTCATGATGTACCTACCTCGGAATTCAAGATTGGAATGGGTGGAAAAGAAACTCAAGACAGAACCCAACTCTCTATCAGTTAAAAGAAAAAAGACTAGAAAAATTTCACGAATCACCAACGAAGAGATTTTAAACATAAATTGGTCAAACTTTTCAGTCGGAAGGTTGTTATGTTAAAAAACCACGTGTCCCCTGTTGAAGCCAATATGTGTGCAGAAGTACTCTATTTTGTAAGTAATAAGTGGACTACCAGATGTATAGTAAGACTGTTTAGTAAACTGCTCTTTTGTAGGATGACTTTGAGTTGGTACACTTACACTGAGTCTATAAGTAACTAATTAAGCAGATATTACGAAAGTAAAATCCATGCATATCTGCTGAATTTATCAATCATATATATACACTTGTCTTCTGGAAGCTGATTTCACTAGAAGCAAAAACTACTCTTATTTTCCTTTACTTTTTTATTTGATTTAATCAACTGCCCCAGTTGAAGAGTCACCTATCCGACATAGCTAAGCACAAGAGAGTGCTTGGGCCAATTCCAAACCCTTCTGTGATTAACCAAATTAAGAACAGATATATATGAGATCAATGGCTTCCTCTTACTCCTTCATGGCCATTGTGACCTTGTCTTTCCTAATCGTGCACGTTGACGTAGTGAAAAGTGATGGACTCTCAACAACTTATTATGCATCATCTTGCCCAAAGCTCTTCCCTACTGTGAAATCCATAGTCGAATCCGCAATAAAAAAAGAGGCTCGAATGGGAGCCTCTCTCCTCCGCCTCTTCTTCCATGACTGTTTTGTTAATGTAAATCTTCTCCGTCATCCTTGTGCATAAACTTTGAACGGTATCATGCATTGAGCAATTTACAAACTGGTCACAGATTATAGCATTATTATTACTAACGTGGTAGTTATTCCTTGTTTTCTTAATTTGGTTTGTCTTAGAAATAAATATTATTGGTGTGCAGGGATGTGATGGGTCGGTGCTCCTGGATGATGCGCCTAACTTTATTGGAGAGAAAAATGTACCTCCTAATAAGAATTCTTCAAGGGGATTTGAAGTCATTGATGAAGTCAAGTCTGCAGTAGAGAAAGTGTGCCCCGGCACCGTATCATGTGCTGACATAGTGGCCACTGTTGCTAGAGACTCTGTTGTCATGGTAAGTTACATACCAAATAGTTCTTGATCTAATATTACTTCTGTTTTCAAAGCGTCATGGTCATAATTTCCATTCATGTATCTAGTTGTATGAGCATACTATGCGTACATTGCAGCTTGGCGGGCCAAGTTGGGGCATTCAACTGGGAAGAAAAGACGCTAGGGCTACAAACCCAGTTGTTACTAATGTCAGCATACCCACCGCAAGGGCTAACCTAAAGGAGCTCATCCTTAGATTCAGTGGTATTGCACTCAACAAGAGGGACTTGGTTGCTCTATCTGGTAGTTGCTTCATTAGATCGACACATTCGCATATTTTTCAAAACCATATAGCCGGTTCGACCTGAATGTGATGAAAACTAATTACTTTACGTAAAATGCAGGAGCTCATACACTTGGGCAAGCACAATGCCACAACTTCAGAAAGCGGATATACAATGAAACCAACATAGACACAGATCTAGCACAACAAAGAAGATCAAAATGCCCTAAAGCCAAAGGCTCAGGGGATCATCATTTGGCTCCGATTGATGCTCAAACCCCGATAGTGTTCGACAACAGCTACTACAAAAACCTTGTCCAGAAAAAAGGACTCCTCCATTCCGATCAGCAGTTGTTCAGTGGAGGCAAAACTGACTCCATCGTACGTGAGTATAGTGAACACCAGGAATCCTTCTTTAACGACTTTGTGTCAGCAATGATCAAGATGGGAACCATCAACCCCCTCATTGGACCGGCTGGCGAGATTAGATTGAATTGCAGGAGGATTAACCCCATCGTTTGATTAGAATGGTTGCACGCATGGCTTTACAATCAATTAATTATGTTTTCAGGAGATCTTCTTACCTTAGAAAAATAGTAGTTAGAATTTCGCTTTTGTTTGACATCAGTAATATTGGTTGATTAGATTATGAAGTTAACATAGGAAAATTTAGATGCAAAAAATTGAGCAAAATCAGTAAAACCACGCTATTATGCGCAGACAATGCGTAAGCTATAACGTGATTCACCCAAATTGAATTATGTCTTAGGAGTAAGATGGATTTCCATTCTAAGGAATACACAGGACAAGCATGAGACGGTTCGAAATTCAAGAGTGAAAATCATGAAACAAAAGTTGCATCTTTATTCGAAATAAGATTTGTCGTGGGGAATAAATAAAAAAAATTAACATAACAAACATGCTGACCTAGAAAAAAAAAAGGAAAAAAAAAACAAGTTTCCTGAAAAAATGATGAATTCTAGACCCGTATTTCACAAGGCATATTCTGGTTCAATTCCTGCCGCTGATGAATCGGACGATGGTAACCAGAGAAGGTTGAAATGCTTCTGTAGGTCTTTCTGACCCCCGAAAAGATGGACTACCATGGCGACACTACTAGCTAGTCCCCTTTTTTAAAGAAGGGAGAAACCATGTGTAACAACTTTGGGATAGGAAAAAGAGCGTCAAACAAAATGGGCTCTCACTTGTGGGCTTTAATATTAGAGCTACGGTCATCTGGTTGGATCCACAATTGGGTTGGGTTTTCATTTTTGGCCCTTCACATATTGAGATACTAATACTAGTTATACATGTTTAATAAATTCAGAAGCAATTTAATTAGCAATGAATAATGATGTTAGCCTGTAACCAAAAGATGACTAATGATACTACCAATCTATCCAAATACAATAGATTTTTGCTAACAATAAAGTCCATCAATGATAGTTTGTTAATAACTAATAATCATCCTAATTAAGTACTGGTTTCAGAGATAACATTCTTGTTTAGTTGACTTTATCCAACTTTTCTTAGCACGTGACTGCACCAAATTTTACTTAGCAATTTGTAGCCAACATACGAGTCTGCTAAGATTGCACAAACATGCATATGCATGTCACATTTTTAATTGAATGATCTTATATCATCTGGAAATTTGTCATTAACAACGTTTTACAATTTTCCAAACGAAAGTTTTATGCACCATCACGTTCATTTTATAAGCATTAATGTGGCAGTTTTTATTTTTTGTAGGGTTTAAAGTATCAAACAACTTTGGTTAAACAATTCAAAACTAAAAGAAAAATCCGATTCGCAAACAAAAACTCTAGCCGCCTTGTCTTTGGTTCGGGAATCATTTTCTATCTCTTCTATCTCTTTCTTTCTTTGCTTCCAGTTGTGGTCACTCTAGCTTTGTCAATGAAAGTTTTTGTGGTTGTGGCTGTTCTCTCGATTTGTCGAGGAGAGAGTTTTCATGTTTGTAGTTGTGGTCATGACTTTAGCATATGTTGTTTAGATCTGAGATGATGTTTTTGTGATTTGGGCGGTTGGCAAAGAATTATAAGGAGAATGCTCCACGTTTGTTGGAGGTGACTCATAGCAAAGCTTCTTTATTGACAATTATAAAATCATCGGAGGGTGGGGCAATCTTTTCCTCATGGTCCCCTTAGTTCTTCAATTTGCAAAGTTAATTTAGTCATCGTGACTAGAGTGTTGGGATTAAGACTTACAGTCCTTAGGGGCTGAAGAATAAGTTTGTAATTGTGGAATTGTATGGTGCTGTTTAGTAAGCATCGCATTAAACAATTTTGCTTAATTTAGTTCCATTGTCAACCCACATAAATGCCATGGGAGTCCAAAAAAATATAATCATATTCTTTAACTTCCCAAAGTCATGTGTGCACTTGTTTAAAATTCAGCATAGGAGGTACTCCAACATGTTAAAATTAAAATACAAGCTGTCAAAACTGTGTATTCTAATTAGTTTTCAATTTTTACAAGTGGAGTTTCATAATTTTGTTATCTTAATTTCTTTTAGCTCAATAATTAAACATTTGTACGGATTATTCCTTAATGCATGGCTACAGCCGGATAGTATTTGCTTTAGGGTTTACCCTCGAGATTTGAGAGCAAACATGTGCTACTCTGTGAGAGAGAGGAAACATTGGTCAAATATTTAATTTAGGAACCAATTAAATTTTGATCGAAACTTTGTTACCAATGACCATAAGCCATAATCATCCTTTACTTCTTCCAACATATATAGTCAAATAACTGTGACTTTAAAGACCCAATTAGTGACTTCATGAGAGAGATTATGTATAGATTATGAAGCAAATTTATAGATCTTAGACCTTGGGAATCCTGTACTCACATCACAGCATATTGACAGATTCGAGAAACTTATTTAATTATTACGGGAAATTTTAATGTTTATTTTTTTATAATAAAGTGTTCGTCAATTTTTTTGAATTTAATTAGATGTCTCAAATATTTCTGATTTGGCTAATATTTTGCAAGAATGATCTATGAGATACAACTTGAAAAATAGACGGTTCAGATCGTTAAAGCTCGATGTGGTGAGGCCCCACAACTAATCCCAAATTTCTCAAAAAATGGGAATCCCTTTCCTTAAAGGGCTTGTATTGTGTGTGTGTGTGTGTGTGTAGGAGGCCTTTAAGGGAAGGGATCCTCATTTTTTTTTTTATAAAAATAAGATTAAGTGGGACTCACTCTACATCGAACTTCAACGATCCATCCACAAGAAGCTTAACAAACTCTTGAAACAGCGGAAGCTAATTTGAGGAAAGCTGAAGGCAAGAGACAAACAATTGAAAGCAATGTGATGTCGTAATTAGTCTAGTTGGTCCGTCTGAATAAGCAAAATAAGGTGTATAAACAGAAGTTCTGTTTATACACCTTATTATGCTTATTCGTCCCTAATTTTGTTCCTGCCGATTGAATAAGAATCAATTACAATCAAGTGGAATAAAATTCTAATGAAACAAAAACAATAAAAAAAATAAATATTAAAGAAAATGAGTAGAAAATTTGTCTATTTTATAAGTCTCAATTCATAGATCATCCTTGTAGGAATTTAATTCAATCCAAAACCATTTGCCTCTTTAATTATCACAAAGAAATTTTATTTTTTTTTATAGAACAAAGTGTTCGTTAATTTCTTTATACTCAATTACATGTCACAAATATTTTCGATTTGGCTACTATTTTGCAAGGATAGTCTAAGAGGTATAACATAAAAAATAAACAGTTCGGATCGTTGAAATTCGATATGGTGTGAGCTCCACAACTAATCCCCATTTAAAAAAAAAAATGGAGATCCCTTCTCTTATGAGCCTCATGTATATATATGTATATCAGGGAAATACAAACAAACCCTAACACTATGTTTGGATGAGAGAAATAAACTTGAAATTTGGATTAAAGACAAAATTTATAAATTGACATGCATCAATTCCCTTGTTTGGATTCATAAATATAGAAATTTAGAATTTCCGCATTGAAACAAAACTTGGAATTTGGGACCTCCAATTCTCAAGTTTAAATTCCATATAAATAGGTGTTATTTTCCAATTTCTAAGATTGAGGGTTTAAAAACAACAAATTCCGTATTCAATTCCATTGTTCTTTTAGGTTACCCAAACAAGAAAATTCACAAATTCTATAGAATAAAATTCCATCATTTAAATTTCCGTCATTTTAAAATTCCTTAGTAATCTTAAATTTCTTCATCCAAACATAGTGTAATAATACACCTTTACTCAATAGTGAACTTCTAATCAATTAGTACATAAAACAATTGATAATGCCCGTTGACATCATCCATGCTATATAATTAAAGGAGGGCATGGATGACATTTGGGGAACGAAGGGAAGAAGAGATGATCATGACAGTTATTTCGACAGTTTTCAATGGAGAGAATCAAAGGGAGTTGTATGAAGACAAAGTAAGATGCCATTATTGTAAGCAACCATGACATAAGACCAAATTCCATCACATCTAATTGGTTCTATAATCTTGAAGGAGGGATACCTAGCTAATTCAGTACAAGTGTATATATTTGTCTTTAATAAAAATTGTTAATGAAAATCTTGCTTATGTGATTCAGGTTCCTCGCCTACTTTCCACTTGGGTTGAAATCCACACGCCAAGGAAACAAAACTGCTTTGAGAAATTAATATAGCTGGCAAGACCATTGACCATCCAACAAATACATACATCTACTTGACAAAATGCTGTAACTTTACTAAATAGCAATATATGTGTACGCGTTGTGTGATTATAGTACTGATCATTTCATTTTACAAAACTTCCCTTTCGATAATAGGGAATAGTTGATATGATTCCCTTTCTTTACTTCTCCTACTTCTAAGATCTTTGATTCCTTCTTCTTTTTTTTTTTTTTCATTTCTGTTAAGTAAACATGTCCTTGGGGTTTAGTGTTTGGCTTTGAATATTCTATGGTTATCTATTGCACTGTTCATGTAATATCTAATGGTGATTCAATAAAGCACCTTATTCCTATTGAAAAAAATAAAATGACAACCCCATTTTCAATTCTTTTAATTTTGATCAAAATAACCTTGGTTGTTTGAAGTAGCGTCTTATAATGGAGATCAAATCTTCTACACCTAAAATGAGTGTGGCATCTCTATGATCCCAATTATTGGCTGACGCATATTAAATTTTTACAACAAAGTTAAGTTTATAAACAGGTGTTAGTCAATGATCGAAGCCAAAGAGAGACCACACTCATTTTGGGTGCAGAAAATTTGATATCCTTATAACAATATAATTTCAGGAATTAATTTAATTTCGATTTTATGATAATTTCACGGAGCAATGAGGCTTCAAATATTTGTAGGATTCATTATTGTAGCAAATCCCACAACCTTCAATTTTATCATCGTGCAATAAATCAAAGAATCTTTAGTTTTTGAGCAGGAACCCTATTTTTTTATATACCACTACTCCATCAACCAGATAACTGTTAATAAAATCAAAATTAAACTAATTTGTGAGAGCTATGAAATTGTTTCACAGCGTTTCCAGTACAAAAGTTCCATTTTAGCGGTGTTCCAAATGCTACCATTCATGCCATGCCATCGGTTGGTGGTGATTCTACCCAAAATTAATGAGTTATCTAATACTTAATTATTCAGTTTCTCATCATGCTGGGTCAGGGTTACCACCTTGGCCCTTAAAATCTTACTCAGAAAATAGAAACCATAATTTATCCAGAATTGTCTGATGAAATATGATCTTTACCCCAATTACTATGCAAACTCTTTATTATATTTTTAACAAATTAGTGATCAACTAGCATAATGCACAAATTATCCAAGAATAAGGAAGAACAATGAAGCTTCCACTACTACTATTCCCAGTATTCCGGTACCCATATAAAAGGGCGACCCCAAGCCAACAAGGCTTTCTGCTTTGCGAGGGTCAGGGGAACATCTATCGTATGTAGCCTTACCCTTGCTTTTTGCAAATAAACTGTTTCCACAACTCAAATCCGTGACCTTTCAGTGACAAATTAAGGAGCAACATTTCCGTTTCGCCAAGACTCACCCTCATACCCATTATAATATAAGGGTAGTAAATATTAAATAACGGCACCATTGGTAGAAATTAGATACATATACAAGATTCGCATTAGAGTTTCTAATGTGACATGTTGAGGATTTCAATTCATAAGCCTTAATTTAATTGTCTCCTCCCCCAACTTCAATATTAATTTCTTCAAATTAACAATAATTCATGATCCTTGGTTGGCAGAGAGGTATACAACATGTAATAAAGCATATTTTATATATCATGTAGTAGGATTTCATTAAAATCGCGTTCTTACTAAGATATACAAGGATCAAATAGTAAATTCAAAAACATGGTACATGGCAGAGAGGTACTTCTGCATGTTCAACATATAATACCATGAATAATGTGCAACAACAGAACAAACTAACACGTTTGACTTTGGTGGCTAGAGGACGAGTTTTAATTTGGATACATGCTATATTTCGTCCAATATCTACGGAGAAGAACAAAAATTGGTAGAAATTAAAGTTAATAAGTAGCATGCGGAAAGGAACATAACAACCAACAATATCTGGCGACAAAATAAGGACCTAAAATGGATTGACATTAACTAAGAAACTAAAAACCTCCCAAGAAATCGTATATCAACTATAAAAATTGGTAGAAATTAAAGTTAATAAGTAGCATGCTATATTTTATCATCATTTTATTCCACTTGAAGAATCATCATAATAAGAAAATTAAATGGGATCGATGTCTTAATTTCAGTCTAAAAATTAAAGTTTAACCAAAGAAGGAAACATTTTCACTTGAAAGGGAGCTATAATCCGCAGCACTGGTTTGTTGATTAGTGTACATAGAAGAAGAAGATGAAGTAGGAGGCATAGGAGGTGGCAGTGGCGGCGGTGGGGGTGGCTGTGGGGTCTGGGGCAAGGAAGCAGCAGAAACAGCCCCGGAAGTAGAGAACAAAGCCATATGATGAGAATTAGATGGAAGGAGATTGGCTTCCCTGTATTTGTATTTAAGTATCTCATCCCTTACTGCGTTGAGCTCAGCTTGTAAAGATTGAACTTGTTGTTGCAAAGCCGAAATTGCACCCATGCATCCATACACCGGATCTCGTAGCCTCACATTTGCTTCATAAACAAGACTATTTGCTGCATCTGCTCTTTGAGTCTCCGGCACCTCCTGATTAAATAATTATGTGCACGACACATAAGGTAATTAAGAACCAAGAAATAAAAATCCAGGATGAGAAATCTAAAAGATATATATTATCGATAAAAACCAAATATTCTTTTTAACGAAAATAGTGAGGGAATTGAAGGATTAGGATTTATTTCATAAAAACCAAATATTAACAAAATATGGACAAGATGAAGTTGGCACCAGTATCAAACACTTTTCTCCGAAATTGAAAGTACATGATGAATGCATAATGATGACTTAATAAGAATTAGGACTTTTAGTTTAATTACCATGAGCATCTTCGAGACGTTGCTGGCACCAAAGACCTTATGAACCGAAGCAAACTTCTGGGGTTCGTGGGGAGAGAAGTAAGGAGAGAAGGGGCATTCCTGTGCACACCTTCGTCTGAGGAGTTTACAGGCAGCACAAGGAGTGATGGTGTTTAGGGTTCCAGGAGGGCCCAACATGTGTCTTCTTCCCATTTGATAATGGGAAGAAGCATCAGTTTCTCTCTTAAACTTCTTGCCTAACTCATCAACTTCCTCCCTAGAAGCAGAAAATTAACGCATAAACAAAATTGTGATGACACATATAATACAAATATAGAAAGAGAATTGATTCCGCAAACTCTTTTCTCCTTTTGCGCATTCCTATTTATTTCCGTTCCTATATATTCTTTTGATTTCTTCATTTCGAAGGCTAGGAAAAAACAGGTGTGTAAGGAGAGAAAAATTTGCGTGGAAGTCAGTTCCCATAGAAAACGTTGCAATTATAGGAAAAAATAATTATTACCTTTCTCTGGACATTCAGGCATGCTCTCTCAGGGTGGTGGAGTTGCTAAAGGAGAAAGAGAGGAACGGTTGAAGAAGGAAGTATAATATAGGGGGGTACAAATTAATGAGTGAACTTCAAAGGCAAGGTACACTATATAAAAAGTGGTCTACTGTTAATATGGTTTTATAAAACAAATTAAGAGACAAAAGGGGTTGGAGTGTTAAGAGAGTTTAAACTACTGACTCAGATTATAAGAAGGGGAGCAGAAAGCTGAGGAACTTTTGTTTGTTGGTGCTGATAAGTATTTCTTTGGTTGATGTACGAGGATTCCAGAAATTATAGTTCTCCAGAATGCAATAGAGCACTCTCAGTCTGAGATAAAAGCATCAATGGAGAGAGAATAGTGAGAGGGGGAGGGAAGAAAAGCATAAATGCGAACTCTGTGACCGCTAGCCCTCTCGCGCTCACGTGTGGTTCCTTAAATGTGTTTTGACTTTTTGAATCAACCATTTGATTTCATGCCTGCATGTGGTTCTTGCTTCATTCTCAGGAAAGACCTAACTAGTTTTTTTCCCCTTCTTTTTTCTTTGAGAGTTGAACACAAATTATCTTATAACACATGTTTTTAATTAATAACCTAAGACAAACTATTATTGAAAATGTAAATTAGCTAGCTCCACATGAGTGTTTAGAATTAGAGAGTACAACTGTTATTTGTTGATACCGAATATCAATCTACAGTACATATATTTATAATATAATGTATAGCTAAACACACTCACTTTGACCAAAAAAAAAACACACACTCATAATTCGTTATTCTTCTCCATAAAGTATTTATAAGAAACAAGATAGAAAACCAATTTTAAACAAGAAATAAATCAATCCTAATTGAACAAGCAGGCCTAAATACATAAGGGTAAGGAAACTTAATTTCCTCCTAAAAGTTATTTTGAGAAATAAATTAGAGAAATAAAATATCTCCTCTCTATTTTATTATTCTTTAATATATGTATAACAACAATGTTAATGTATCAGGAACTATATCAGTATGTTTCGGTACCAAACTTTTTTTTCTCTTTCACGTTTTATAATTCAGGAGATATATCTCATTATTAAGTTGTAATAGGCATGTTAGCTCCTTGTCAATATCAAGAACGCACCTTTGATTAAAAAGCCTGTATCTGGGATCTTGTTTTGAAAACGAAATTTTATATCGGCATCACCGTGTGAAAACCGCAATTTGTACTTGAAGATGGCTAAGACCAACTTTAGACCCATATGATTTAGTCAGAACTATAATCTGTCAAACATTGATTTTCCCATTCTTTACAACTAGCTAATACATATGGATCAACAGCAAATTAGTTCAAGCACTCCCTTTTTCTTTCCCCTTCAGGCATATCCAGCTAGATGGATTAATTAATCGAAGTGAGTTATATACATTCCTTGTCTAATTTAGTGAGTCATATTTACAAGCAAAAGAATCACATATACAACAATAAAATTGGGATAAATCAAAAGTATATACATTAGAAGTCATATATAAATGAATATAGGACAAATGGGGTTTGATTGTTGGGACGAAGAACTAATTCATCTCGAAAGTTATTTTTTCCTTCCCCTTGTCAGTCATATCCCAAACTCCTACTTCAAGGAGCTCTCTAACTCTATAAGATTACTCAACACATCAGTGATGTCCACAGAAAAAGACTAGGCACCCTTCAAGATAAGTTATATATTGCGACGTATCTATCGGAGTTTACCTACATTTTCATATAAGGAATGCATTGTGATTAATCTAACCTAGTTGTCTATTTCAGCTATCCAAATGCTGCGTTGTCCATATTTTAACTAGTGCTGTCAACAGCTTCAATGATTGTATACTTTGTTCAATGACTCGTCTGGCTAAGCCGGCGGCCATCAGAGTTTTTTTCTTTCTTTCATTCGATTAATAGTTAGCTTAAGAAGAAATCTAATGCCTTAATTTCGAGTTGCGTGCCATTATAACATGGGCACACTCATGCTTGGAGAATTGCATTGAAGAATGTAAAAAAAATCTCACGTCATAAACTTGACAAAAAAATATATATAACTTGTATTCAGTGGTATTATTTTTAATTGTATCGAAGTTTTTTTGTAATAAAATTGCATACCTACTAGCATGTGGTTAAGCTAAAAATAATATTGGTGCTTGATCCATTAATATTGAACCGTTGAAACCCCTCTATGAAATCTTGCAAAAATGTTGAAATAGTTTCTCGATTGACTAGCTCTCTCTCTCTCTCTCTCTCTCTCTCTCTCTCTCTCTCTCTCTCTCTATATATATATATATATATATATATATATATATATGAAAGCTGCATGTAACTACAACAGTAGTGCAATCTAATTAAAATCGTTGGATTAAGCAACAAATGAGAAGATTAGACAAATACTTAAGCCAAATTTCCAATGACCTAATTACTAAGACAAGGGGAATGAGGAATAGTATTAATATATATGTGGTCCGTAGTAGATGGGGCAAATTCTTAGTTGTGAATTTGAGGAGTGAGGAGTGTTATGTCAAGGTGGGTGGTGAAAGGGAGGGAACGAAAAAGAAAGAATAATTTCGAAGAGAAGGGAATTAATAAAGAATTGGAGGGGATTAATATTTTAATTTATTGTGAATTGTGAATTGTGAAATGTGAAATTTATATATCTGCATTGCTTAGATTGTAAGAAAATGGCACCATCTTACAATCTTGTTTGACCCGTATTTTAAGGCTCGCAAGTCGCCCCGATGTTCTCTCATCCCCAACCTACTTTCTCACACTTTCACTCTCTAATCTCTCTGCACCAAAACCTAGAACTTTATTATCCGCCATTTTCTTATGCCAATAGGTTTAAAGTTGCTTCAGATAAAGAGTAACTCTAGTTTTTTGGCATTCGTGGTCATACACGATGGGTTTTTTTTTTTTTTTTTTTTTTTTTTTAACTAGAATATTGTCACGTGATATTACTATTTCATTTAATAAAATTTAACAAGTGTAATTATAATACCATGTAACGATGTTCTGAATCCACACAAACATTTTTCCATATGCGATGCAATTTGATTTGATGTGATGAAGCCTGGCTAATGCTACCTCACGTTTTCATTTTCGCTTTCAACTCTTTATACCGACATTCGTTTCAAATTTTTAAATAATTAGGTCAATATATGTATATGGTAGCTACTAGCCATATCAAGAAAGCCAATATAAGTAAGCTGTGTGCATGAACTTTGGTTGCAAAATGTTGTTATCTAGTTAAATTGTCTATGATAGCATGAGATCTCTTCCACGGGTCACAAGTATAAAACCTGAGACTTCTCCATTTCCAGGTCCCCTGCATCCTTAATAGATTTATCTTTATATTATTCTAAGGAGAGGAAATTAGATATAAGTCCAATTTATATACCCTTAATAGGTTAAATCTGTGGATGACTGGATCACTGTTAATCACTAGACTTTGCCCTTATCGTTACAAAATATATGCATGCTAGCTAGCTGGGAAAAATGCTAGGTTAAAGGCATATATATTCATCACTGTGGATTCTTGGATCATCAACGTTAAACTCAATGACGGAGTTAACATGGGGTCATTATTTGTCTGTAAATCCCAACAACTTAAAAAACCCTATATATATTTATATGTATATTGTATTTGACCCTGTAAACACCAGGGCAAACTAAATTACAATTTATTCCTCCTACTTCTTTTTCTAACTTTTTTATCATCTATGTCTTCCTTTTCTTTTTTTCTTGTGTGACTCTATTGTGCACACTAAATGCTCGACGAAATGCTTTAATAATTAAAAAGTCTTGGCAGTATTCAACATTACTCTATAGTTTCCTATAGCCACACTTGACAAGTCTCTATATATTATAGTAGTTGTTGACGTATATTGACATAAGCCTTCGGCAGATTTTGGCAAGAATCGACATGTTCCTAAAGTGTTCGACGAAATGGTCCAATGAAGTTTTTTTTTGGTCAAAAGCATGACCCCACAAATCCTAACTCCGCCAGTAGTAATATATACATCATTGTGGATTCTTTGATTGATTGACGTTAAACTCAAACAAGAGAACATGATTTTTGTGATAAAATTTTGGGTAAATTACATTTTACCCTCTCAGGTCTAGGGTCGATTTCAATTTCTTACAACATCTTTAAAACATTTCAATTTCATACATTTACTTATCATTTTATTTCAATTTCATACAACTGTTAAAAATCTGTTAAGTTAACAGTTAAGTGATGATGTGGCAATATAGGATCCCCATTTGTGCTGACGCGGCTGCCACATGGCTAAATACTTAATAAAAATTTAAAATAATTAAAATAATTAATTAAAGAAAAGTATATTAAAAAATTTAAAAAAAAAAACCCAGAACCTTCTTCGTTTTCCCCACCCGACACCCCTTCATCCCCTCCATGGCTCCACCCCTCCATCCCCTAAAATTACCAATTTTTAATGGTGGGAAATGTGGGCAGGTGAAAAAAGCTGTTAAATTTCGCAAATTGAAATCCGAGTGAAGTCTGTGCGTTTGTTTCAGCTGATTTTGAATCCCTAATCGAACCCCAAATCACACAAACCCACAAAATTCAAATGTCAAAACCCTAGTCTCTGATCTTCCAAGGCCTGCTAAGATTTCACCGCAGCCAAATCTCAAAACCCTCATCTATGTCTCCATAAGGAGGAGTTACGACTCCAACAATGGGCATTCTCCCCAATTTCCCTATCACCCGAAACCAGTCCCCGGAAGCGGGGTTGGAAATTACTTCGGGCTGGCTATGGGCCTGGACATGAGGGTTTTCTCTTTCAAGCCGTCGAATTTCAAGGCTAAGAAGGTGTTTGATAAGCCGTTCTCTACGGCATCATCAGCTTTCTCGCGGTACCAGGAGGCCATTGGGTTGCAGATTGAGGTGTTCTAAAAGAGGAACAATTTGGTGCTATTGGGAATGGGGGGGAATGCTGTTGGGAATTGAAGATGGAGGAGTGGATCAAATAAAGGGTGGCTCGGGTGGGTAAATGGTGGGTTATAGAGGATGAAAGAAGGTGTCACAGCCCGTCTTGGAGATGTACATTAATTATGTTATCGACGGTGTGAAATTACCTAAATATCCTTGGATGTTGAGAATTATTATGGGATGGGGTGGTTTAAACTTAAGATTTTGGACCAATTAATTATATTCCTCTTTTATTGGATCTAATTAGAACTAAGTGTTCTCTTAGTTATGATTGGTGTACATTTTGGGACCACACATACATCCCTACCCTCTCTCTTTTCTCTCCCATACTCTCTCTCTCGGTTTCACTCTCTCTCTCTCTCCTTGCTATATGTATAGACAAGGGCAAGAACACCCCAAACTTTGCAGATCGAGGAAGAAAATGGTACCATTGTGTTCGTGAGGACCTTATGAGTTCAAAGGTATCAATTTTAGGTAAGGAAACCTTCGATTTCACGTGGAAACCCTAGCCCCGATTTTGGTCACTATTCATGTGG